AACTAATGATTAATGTATGGGGATTAACATAAGAATAAAAAAAAAAAAGAATAAAAAAAATTACCTCCTCAGAGAGGCTCTCCCTGATCACCTATAGTCCTATTTTATTGGCTTCAGAGCACTTATTTTCTGAAGGTTTGTTCATTTATTTACTGCTTATTTTCTTCTCCCCTCTGCTAGAGTCAACTCCATGAGAAGAAGCACCTTATCTCTTTCATATCATGTATATCTAAACTCACATGAGGGCCTCAATGCCTACTTTTGAATAAATGAGTATAAGACTCTTTCAAGACCCCATCAAGCCCCATCTGCTTTATCAAAGTCTTGTGGGACTCCTCCAATTCCTTGTGATTGCTTCTTTTCTGAACTCTGCCCTCTTGGGACCAAGCCTTCTCAGTTCAGTACTCAAAAGTACACTGACTGGCTTGAAAAACTCAACTTCCCAACTAGATTCCTTGAGAACTAAGTCAGAGCATCCTAAATGTCTCTTGGGCCAACAAGAGTCCTCAAGGGGGTGTGCCTGGGCGGCTCAGTTGGTTAAGCGTCCGCCTTCGGCTCAGGTCATGATCCCAGGGTCTTGGATCGAGTCCCACATCGGGCTCTCTGTTCAGTGGGGAGTCTGCTTCTCCCTCTCCCTTTGCGTGCTGCTTCCCCTGCTTATGTGCTCTCTCTCTCTCTCTGTCAAATAAATAAATAAAATCTTTAAGAAAAAAAAAAGAGTCCTCAGGGTGAGGTCAGCACTGATTTCTGTCTATAGCTGCCATGAGCATCTAATGAGATCCTGTGTGTGGCAACACTCTGAGCCATAAAGCACATACAAGTAAGTTATTATTATGAATGTTATGGTAGGCATTTGGTAAAGACTGTAAACGCTAGCAGATCATTTTTTTTTAAAGATTTATTTATTTTGAGAGCGAGAATCTTGATCAGACTTCCTGCTAAGCATGGAGCCTGACGTGGGGCTCGATCTGATGACCCTCAGATCATGACCTGAGCCAAAATCAAGAGTCAGACATTTAATCAACTGAGCCACCCTGGTGCTCCAATGATTAAATTTTTAAAAAAGCAAGTGACCAGAAGTTCTTTGCTGGTCTGGCAAAAAGATTTGAGGATGGGATGGGTGTCTCAGACTTTGAGAAAAGTTCCTTAAATAGTATTTCTTCCAGCAGACCTTTTGGTAAATGGTAGTGAGTTCAGGAAGCCATCAAGTTAGAAAAGTTGGTATTGACTTTTTGGTTGTATTGCTGAATAGTTAAGCATGGCCCGGTATAGCATGAACAGCCTAGAGGCATGCCAATACCACATTAATATCACAGAAAAAGCAATGGACTGTTTTACTATCAGAGATATACTCTGAGGACCTAGCATGCTTGGCTCTTCACCTTGTGGGGTGGTTCTTCAAGGGAAACACTCACCTACCTTCTCAGGCCTCTCAGGCTTGTCTAAGGCTCTGGTAAGGGACAAGTCACTTACAACGAGCATTTATATTCTTTCTCTTTTACATCCACTCACCTTCTTCTTTTACAATCCGCCTTCCTTCTCAGTTAAAGCTAGTTGGGGGGCAGAGGAGCTTCTTTTCTGGCTGTCATTCTGGGGCAGATATTTTTCTAGGCTTCATCTCTGACATCATTAAAATTACATTTGGCTATGGCTATGTGATACCACTTGCAAGGTCAATTCCAGTTCTAAAGATTCCATTAAGAAGGAGGTGAAGAATAAGATAAACTGCTGTTATCATTTTTATGCCACGAGATGGAGTGTTACCCTTGACAATGACATTCAACAAACCAACCAGCCCAAATAGAGTGTTACCAAAAATAAATGTGGAATTGAAAGTTACTCTGGATTCTTGGATCTCAGCTCATGTTATCAGTTGTCAAAGAAGGGTATGCTGTTGTGGCTGGAACTGCTTGCTGACTGATGTTTCTGCCTGAAGTTCCATTCTGAGGTCAACAAATCCAAAAGAAACCACACACCTTCCTACTCAGTTACCTCCAAGCCCCTTACCTGACCCATCTGTGGACCCCAGCTTCTCAGTGCATCTCACATTTTTCACTTCTATTCTGATTCCTTAGTCACCACCAGGCCCGGAAGTACGGCCTCCTAGTTGGGCTTCCTACCCTTAACCTCCAATCCATTCTGCCCTGATAGGCACGAAACATCCTCTACCACCTCGTTCTAGCCACAGCTGGGTAACTTGAGACCATCTCTTCCCCTCTCTGGGCCTCAGTTTCCTCATCTGTAAAAGACAAGGCTGGGCTGAGCCATCTCCAAAGATGTATTTCACTCTAGGATTCACATTTCTATTGGAGAACTCTGGCAGAACAAGCAGTCATGCCTCCATATCAACAACAGATGGCGCTCCATCACCAGCAAATAGCTTGGACTCTGCCGCAGCCTTCCGGAAAAGCCTCTTCTGTTATGGAAGGCAAAAATGTCCAAATCCCTTAGCTTCTACTGCTCCTGCACACATAGCCAAAGTGGTAAATCCCGTTCTGAACCATTTAAAGTTTTCCCATCATCTAGACTCTTCTGTTCATTTAACCGACGTTCAAATGAGCACTTACTATGTGGCAGGCCCTGAGCTGACAAGAACATGCACAGTCCCTGCCCTCCCAGAGGTCACCCTCTGGTGGTGCAGACACATTTGGCCTCGGAGGAACGGAATACGCAAAGTGCTGTGGGGACCAGGGCTTCAGGATAGGCTTCATGGTTGTGGTGGGAGATTGTGCCTGAGGTGAGTTTAAGAGGATAAACAGGTGAGTGTCGACTATTCCAGATGCGGGGAGCAGCACCCAGAAATGGCCTAGCCCAAAAGCAGCTTCAGATGCCAGGCAGGGTGGGGGAAGCGACGTGGCTGGCACTGTGGGCAGAGCCCCACCTTGGAAGGCTTCCACACCCTGCAAAGTGCCTGGACTTCATCTTGTAGGCAATGTGGAGACACGGGAAGGTTTAAACTGGAACTGAGAATGGACCAGATCTGAGGCTGAGCAGCTCGACTGGAGACAGTACTCACGTGGAGAACTGCTGCAGTCACACCCCAACTGTTCCCCTGCCTCTCTCTGGTCCCCTTTCAGCCCCTTCTTCACATGCAGGAGCCAAAGGGACCTTCTTAGCCTGTCAATCATCCATGACACCATCCTGCTCAAAAAAAAAAAAAAGCCCTTCATGTCACCCAGTATTCTTAGGATAAAGAATTCAAACTCTTCACCAAGGCCCACATGGGCCAAATACAACCAAGCCCCCTGACTCTGCTCTGCAGGCAGAAGGACCAGGGGAACGCGCAGTCTGGGAAGTCTTTGTTTCATTCATTCAAAAAACATATGCTGAGCGCTTACTGTGTGAAGGCCTGTTTTAGGCATTTGAGATACAGCAGTGGATAAAACAGAAATCCCTGCCCTCACAGAGCTTTTCACATAGTGAGAAAAATACATTACAGAATATGCGAGGAGCAATGACCAGCAAGAAACTCTGAAACAAAGCCTCAGTGATTGGGGTGGGGTGGGGAGGGGGCATAGGTGGGGGCAAAGGTAAACTGAGGTAGGCAGGGCTGAGCAAGAGGTCTGCCCAGTGGCTGAAGCTTCACAGCAGAGCAGAACCAACAATGGGCTGAAGGCTCAGAGCTGTGGAAGGCAGCAAGGAAGCACAGGAGAGGTCCTCTGCCTTCCAGAGCCCAGGGACAGGAGACGGCAGGTACCCCCAACTCTCAGGAGGACTTTGACTCCTGCCAAATGGAAAATGAAGCCCACCCAACAACCCTTGAATGAGGGTGTTCTTTTTGTCTCTGCCCCCTCACTGTGCTGAGCCCCTCGAGGGCAGGGAATGCCCTTGGTGCCCACGCAGCCAAGTACCTGGCCCAGGAGTAGGAGGCGTGACCAACTGTAAGGCTCATCAGCACCCATCACCTCCCTGTCCTTCCAGGATGCACAGCTACGACACATTTCCCAGCCTCCCTGCAGTGAGGAGGAGACTACAAAGCGGGAAGCAATGATATAGCCACTTCAGGCTGGCCCCTAAATACCACGTGCCCCTCCATGCTCTCCCTTCACTGACCAGCAATGCAAAGACCACAGTGGGGGACTGAGGCTTGGGGACAGCAGAACTATGGATGGGAGGAACTTGGAACACAGTGGGTGCCTCCCTCCAACACACACACTACACTGCAATGTGAGTGAGAAACACACCTTGGTTGTGTTAAGCCACTGAAAATTTTGAAGTAGACAGAGCATTTACACATACTGGCTAATAGGGGCCCTTGCTTGTTAAATGTTTATTAAAATGATGATGTCTTGAGCAGAAGCAACTTCCCCAAAGTCCTAACCTTGGCAGGCAGGGCAAGGCATTTGGGAAACCTCTTTCCCCAGTGATGAACAATTCAGCCCACCAATGAGGAAGAGGCCCGCCCAGATCAGATTCTTTCTCTACAGCACCTACCTTTCCATCATATACTCCAGGTTGGTTAGCCTTGCTTCGCCTGTGGAGACGATGTGGATGGCATAGGAGCTGAGGGAGCGGTGGATAAACCCCCGGGAATGCAAGTATCTCAGGGCATCGGACATCTGGAGCAGCAGGTGCACGATCACCTCCATGTGCAGCACAGGGAACTGGGAGCGCTGGAATCAAGGGATAAAATGGCCAGGAGCAATAGGGCTGGGCCCTGGATGCGGGAGAATGCTTTGCAATTTCCAAAGTCTTTTCAGTTGATCCTCACAGCTACCCAGAATTCCCATTTTACAAATGGGGAACCTCACGCTCAGGGAGGTTAAGTGACTGGCCTAAAGTCCCACTGACCCAGGGCCCCCCGGCTCCAAAGCTGGACTCCTTTCCCTGAACTGAGCTACTTTACACCACAAAAAACAAGGAGAAAATTCTCAAAGCCTGGTATGTGTCTCCAGGGTGGGCTCACCACCACCATCCCACCACCAATGAACCTGCCCTGCACCCCCCCCCATTCAAGCCTGTGCTGCCGGGAGAACCTGGAAGCCTAAAGGACCAGTCCAGCCCCTGCCCCAGAAAGATGACTGAGCCTAAGAGGAAAGAAATTCGCTCACACCAACGTATCTGGCTGATTAAAGTCATACTGGTCTCTCCCCAGAGAAATGGCATTCTTTTGAAAAAACAAAAAAACCCAAAACTTATTATTGAAGTATGACTGACATACAATATTGTATTAGTTTCAGCTGTACAACACAGTAATTCAAGAATTCTATATGTTACATAATGCTCACCACGGTAAGTAGAGTCACCATCTGTCACCATACACTATTACAATATTGCCTACGCTATACTTTCATCTTCATGACTTATAATTTTATAACGTTAAGCTTGTACCTCTTAATTCCCTTCACCTATTTTGCCCATCCCCCACCCTCTGCCCCTCTGGCAACCACTAGTTTGGTCTCTGTATTTATGAGTCTGTTATTGTTTGTTTGGTTGTTTGTTTTTTTAGTTTCCACATACAAGTGAAATGATATATTTGTCTTTCTCTGTCTGACTTTTTTTTTTTTTTAAGATTTTATTTACTTAGTTGACAGAGAGACAGAAAGAGAGGGAGAGCACAAGTAGGCAGAGTGAGAGGGAAAAGCAGGCTTCCCGCTGAGCAGAGAACCCGATGCAGGGCTCTATCCCAGGACCCTGGAATCATGACCTCAGCCGAAGGCAGCTGCTTAACAACCTAGGCACCCCTGTCTGACTTATTTCACTTAGCATAATATTCTCTTTAGGTCCATCCACATTACTGAAAATGGCAAGATTTCATTCTTTTTTATGGCTGAGTAATATTCCATATGTGGTGAGCCCACCCTGGAGACACATACCATCTCACATTATAATAATTTCACATTATATATATGTATATACATATATCCTATATATTATACATACATATCATATTATACACATACATACATACACACTCACATATATATATCTCACATCTTCTTTACCCATTCACCTGTTCATGGACACAGGTTGCTTCCATATCTTGGCTATTATAAATAATGCTACAATAAATATAGGGCTGCATATATCTTTTTGAATTGGTATTTTCATTTTCTTTTTTTTTTTAAAGATTTTATTTATTGGGGCGCCTGGGTGGTTCAGTCGTTAAGCATCTGCCTTCAGCTCAGGTCATGATCCTGGGGTCCTGGGATCGAGCCCCGCATCGGGCTCCTTGCTCGGCAGGGAGCCTGCTTCTTCCTCTCCCACTTCCCCTGCTTGTGTTCCCTCTCTTGCTTGCTGTGTCTCTGTCAAATAAATAATAAATAAAATCTTAAAAAAAAAAAAAA